GAAAGAAGGGAAAAGAAAAATGCTGAGAAATGGAAAAAATGGAAATAAAGTCTTTGTAAATAGGGAAGGGTGGAGGGGGTGGAGGGGGTGAAGGGAGGGCTAGGAATGGGGAAAAAGTAAGAACCAAGACGCATCATGTAAAGGTACAAGTTCCCAATGAGAAATGTAATTGTGTTGTATACCTAAAATATACCAATAAAAGAATTTAAGGAAAAAAAAACAACCCAAAGAAGACTCTCATTTTAGGGTAATTTCATTTCAAATATGCAGACTACTGGAACAAAAGTACTGGAGAGGCCTGCTTGCGGAATTTCTGCTGCTCGCCAGAAATAAAGAGAATGAACAAGTTGGAAAAATCAACATATCTGGGAGGAGTGGGCCTTTAAGGGAAGTTGGTGAGTTTGGGGGTGGCACCTCGGTACTAGCTCCCTAATGCCTGTTGCCGGCGTCAGAGAGCCGGCTGGTCGACCCACGGTCTCACGTAGTTGGAAATCCTTGGGCTCCCCGTATTTCCGTCTCCGCACCTCGCCCGCACACCGAGGACTCCGGAGGCTGCCCAGCCGACGCGCAGTCCGTAGGCACCGGCCGGCTGGGGGAGCGGGGTCCAACCCGCGCTCCCGGCACCTGCACCCGCACTCGCGCGGCGGGCAGCCGGGCTGGGGCTGGGTGGGGTCTGGCCGGCGGGCGCGCACGTGCGGGCGGACTTCCCCGGCTCCCGGGGCGGGGCACCCGGAAGCACGCGCCGACTGGCGGGGCTGGACGGCCGGGGGCGGCGGGGACTGTAGCAGAGGGCGCGCGCCCCCCAGCCGCGCCGGCTGTGCTCACAGGTGGGCGGCTGCGGCGAGGGCGCGGCCGAGCGGATCCCGGGTCCCCTAGACTCCGGCTGTCACGGTCGGAGCTCCGTGGCACCAGGATCGGGAGACGCTTCCGCCGGGAGCCGATCTTTCTCCCCCTCGGTCTCCGCCTCTTTGGCGGCAGCCGCACCTCTGTGGGGAGGACAGGTAACTTCCCTCCAAGGTCATTCTCCAGGCGGGGCGGCGCTGGAGGCCTGCCCACGTCTTCCCGGTTGGCGGGGGCGGGAGAGGCGAGCCGGGCTGGACCGCGACCTCGGGGATACCTGGGAGCCTGGTGGCATTTTCCCGAGCCACTTGGCGGCCCCAGCTGCGCGGTGCATCCGCCAGAGCTGGAGAGTTCCTCGCCCCTCCCCGCACCCCGGAGGGTGAGTTTCCTCGGCGCCCCGTCTTGAGGCGGGGACCGCTGGGTCCGCCCCAGCCCGCGCCCCCAGGTGAACCCACCGCCTGCGCCCCTGCTGTCCCGGTCCACGTGGTCGGCCGTCGCCATGGGAACGGCTGGTGCCCAGAAGGCGCCTGCCCTGCATGGGAGCTGGGGGTGATGGGCAGCCTGGACCCCTCTGTCTGATAGTGCGGACCCACGGAAGCCTCATGAAAACGAGACACCCTCCTCCTCTTCTCATTTTTGGTTGTTCAGGCGTTGGCATTAATCAGAGAGAGGAGTGGATGTGTTTGCCAGATGTAAGTTGTATTCTTTCCACCTTTACCTTCTGAAGTTTTCTTACACCTCTTGGTGACAAGTGCGAAACCGAAGGGCAGTATGAAGCCAGTGAAGAAAAAGAAAACCGAAGAACCTGAATTGGAGCCCCTGTGCTGCTGCGAATACATGGATCGAAATGGGGAGAAGAACCACATGGCCGCTTGTTTGTGTGACTGCCAAGATCTCGATGAAGGCTGTGATAGGTAAGATCCGAGCCTTTCCAGATGCTGACCCCACCGGTCTTTTTGAGAACTACTGTGTGTACTTTCAGCTTTGCCATCCACAACATTAGAATTTGCTCTTGATTCAATAGAATTGAGGATTTAAAATTGAGAGTTTTGTATGGCAAGCATGAGGATTTTATAAAGAGAAATTATGCTATAGTGCATAATTGTCCAGCTCGGTTTACTAGAATATTATCGTTTTTCATTTAAAGATAGAAGATGATGAAGAGAACAGGCAGGTCAAGGGATAGTGGCATGTTAAACGTATAAACAACACAAGTCAGCAGGATCTGTAAGTTAAAAATGAACATACTAGTTCCAGGAAGTTCTTACACTCTTAATGGTCTTTCATTAGAAACTCATTTCATGGAACTGGTCCCACCTGGTCCCAAAGGGCCTGGGGTTGAAAGATCATTTTTCTGCTGTTGCAGCGGGAAGGTGTGTGTTTCTCCCCTGGATCCACTGTTTTCAGACTGAACAGCAATACTGTCTTAATCAGATCATATTGAGCTTTTATCTGCACCATTACCTCAGTGATGGAGTTATCTAAAAGATAATTTTTAACATTACTGAAAATGTTTTGCATCAAACTAATAAACTGGTTATAGAAATAGACAACTATGTATTTAAAAATTGTAGTGTGGAAAGCTTAACGTAGGAAAAGTAGGGATGTTGGGAACTTGTTTTTCCCATTAATTATTTCTTGCAGCTGGGTGCAGTGGTGCATACTTGTAATCCCAGCTACTGAGGAGGCTGAGGCAGGAGGATGGCAAGTTTGAGACCAGATCTGGCAATTTAGTGAGACCTTGTCTCAATGTGCTAGGGGATGTAGCTTAGTAGTAGAGCACCCCTAGTACTCTCAAGGAAAAAATAAGTCATTGCACCTGCAAATTGTTGATTTAGAACTTGATGCATTAATACCCTTGAAGTATTCCCTAGGGAACCCTGCAATCTTGTACCAACCTTGACTCCTACAAACTGTTCATAACCCCTTTGTAATTCTTCCTTGACCATATTGATAGTCTTTTTTTCTCCCCTCATGGCAGAGTCTCTGCTATATAGTTCAGGCTAGCCTTGAACTCACAGTGATCCTCCTGCCTCAGCCTCCTGAGTGCTGGGATTATAGATGTGTGCCACTACAGCCAGACCGTATTTTTAAATATAGGTTTTTTAAGACTTAGTCTAAAATTCTTACCGAGGAAATGGAGCACTTTGCACTAATGATGGAGGAATGATGCTCTTTCTATAACTGTGGTCACTAAATACCACAGCTTTTCCATTAGCTTTGCTAACTTTTCCTCCCAGCCTTTGAGAGCAGCTGTTCCATGTGTTCTCCTCTCTGCTCTCCCCATACCCTGTGCCTCTGGAGAGGAGCTTCCAGTGTTCTGCTGTCACTGCTGTGTTGCATGACACCCAAGTGGTTATCTGGTTATCTCCCACTCTCTCTCAAGTTCTTTTTTTTTTTCTTTTTGAAGTTTATTGACAGTACTATTAAACCTCTTATTTTTTCAGTTCATATGAAGTTTTTGTTTTAAAGATTGAATTTATTTCAGAAGTACTTGTAAACCAGTGAGACATGACTAAAGCATTTACAGTAAAGTTTTCAAATTTTAATACCTACCTTTTTTTGGGATAAAAATAGCATTACCATTGTAGTATTTTTGTTTTTATTAAAATGAGTTCAAGTTTGATTACTACTAACATCCTGAGCTTTAGTACAGGCAGAGTATCCCTTATCCCAAATACTCAGGTACAGTGGCACTCTCCTAATCCCAGCTCTTTGGAGGCTGAAGCAGGAGGATCGCCTTAAATCTGAGGCTAGCCTGGGTTACTACATAGCGAGTCCAAGGCCAGCCTGAACCACATAGGAAGACCCTGTCTCATAACCAAACCAAACAAAAAGATTCGTATCAGAAGTATTTTGGAATATGTACATATATAGAATGTGATATGTTTTGGATGGAACCTCAGTCTAAGCATGAATTTCGCGTATGCTTCATAAATGCCTTCCGTACATAACCTGAAGGCAATTGGATACAGTAGTTTTCATGTTGCCTGTGAATCATAGTTGCATGGTGTGGAATTTTCCACTTGAGCATTCTGGATTTTTGGATTAGAGATGTTAAGTCTATAGTATTCCAAGGCAAGGTAGAAATATGATCTTTTTTTCTATGTAGGGAGTTGAATCCAAGACCTTCACACTGAGCTATATCCTCTGTAACTTTTAAAATTATCTTTTATTTATTTTATTTTGAGGTAGGGCTAAGTTGCCCAGGGTGGGCTTGAACTTGCAGTCCTCCTGCCTCAGCCTCCCAGAGTGCTGGGATTACAGGAGTATGTCACCACACCTAGCTTGAAACATGATAATTTAAAAATTTTTTCATCTTTCAGGCACTGTTTTATGGTAAAAAATTACTATTTGGTCCTAAGTGTTCCTATATGCAAATAATTTGTACTGTGGATGGTTTTTATTTTCCTGACATCTACATTATACAACTCTAATCACTGAATTCTTCCTCATCACTGAAGCATGTGCTCTTCTTTATCCTCGGGCGCTGTGAATCCTCTGATGTTGAGGGGCCCCCTGCACTGGGTTCCATTGGTTCTGTTCTTCAGTCTTGGCTTGCTGGGCGCGATGGCTTGGCTGAGACTGTCGAGAGCGGGGTCTTCCCCTTCGTCTTCACTTTCTGCTACGTCCTCAATTTCTTCCAGTTTGGCAATTTTCTTTTTCTTCCTTTTTTCTTTCTTCTTTAGAGGCTCACGTTCTCCGAGCATGTTTTGTGGACAGGCAGAACTTACGTGTCCACTTTCCCCACATTCATAACACTTCGATTTATCAAAGTAGTTTCGCCTTCGGATGAATTCAGCTGCTCTCCCATTGTCAATAGCAATGCTTGCCTTTATCACTCTACCAAACAATTGTTTGTTATTTATGGCTCTGGTGCAGTTTTGTGCAGAGTCTTTATCCAAAAATAATATAAATGCAACCCCTTTACTCTTCCTCGTATCTTTGTCTTTCATTATAGTAACCTTTACAACTTTTCCATACTTGGAAAATACCCAGTATAAGTCGTTATTTGTCAGGGAGAAGGGCGAGTTGGACACATACACTGTGCTCTTAGTTGGAGCCAAGCCCTCACTCATTTCTTCAGGGACGGTGGCCCTGGCACAGTGGGGATTCAACCCCGACTTTTCCTCGTCCCTCGCAGTGCGTGCCCTGGGCATCCCATGCCCGGGCCAGATCGGTGCAGAGCCCTGGGGTTGCAGCCTCACTCTCAAGTTCTAATTCTACTTTGTAAAGCTGTCCAAAATCATACTTATCTTGAACTCTGTCTTTCCTTACGGGGCTGTCCGAGTCTATTCAGGCTGCTATACCCAAACACCTTAAAATGGGGAATTTATAAATGACAGAAATTTATAGCTTATAGTTCCGAAGGCTGAGAAATCCAGGATCAAGGCTCTGGCGGATTCAGTAAGGGCTCTGTCCTTATGCCCTAATCATCTCCTGAAGGCTCTGCCTCTTAGTCCTGTTGCATGGAGGATTAGGTTTCCACGTATCTACTCCTGGCCCCCAGGATTCATGTCCTCATATAAAAAATAAATTCATTCCATCCCAACAGCCTCAGCACAAAAAAATCTTAAGTACAGAGTACGGTCTAAATCAGATATGGGTAAGACTCAAGGACATTTCATCCTGAGGTAGATTTTTCCCTGACTATGAACCTGTGAAATAAATTATATGCTTCCAAAATACAGTAGTGGGGCCTGCCTAGAATAGACATTCCCATTCCCAAAGTGAGAAGAAATAATCCTTGACTGGATGTCCCACCTTCCAGACACACTGAGATGGTGCTGAGTTTTCCCTCCTTTACAGCCCATACTGCATCTCTTACGGGTTGGAGTCAGATGCCTACAATCTTCCTGGCTAGAGTTGCATGCTGGGCTCTCAGGGCCTAGCTCCACAGCTCTACCAGGCATTGCATCAGTGGAGTCTCTGTGTTCCCAGTGCTCCCACAGCTCCCCTTGTGGCTCCACTGAGCATACCCTAGCTCAGCCCCTGTGGCACTTCTCTGTCTCAGCCTTGAGGCTCTCTGGGGCATCCTTTTTTTTTTTTGGTACGGGAGATCGAACTCGGGTCCTTGCGGTTGTGCAGCAGGCGGTGAAACCACTGAGCTAAATCCCCAGCCCCTCTGGGGCATCCTTTGAAATCTAGATGGAGGTGGCCATTCCTCCATGGCTCTTGCACCCTATGTTCCTTGCAGAGCTAGCACTATATGGATGTCTCAGATGTTTACTGCCAGTTCCCTATGGAAGGGTGGCCATTGGCATCTTGTAACAGGATAGGCCGAGAAGTTTTCAAATCTTTTGTTTCTCCTTTCCGTTTTTCTTTGGTACCTGGGATTGAACTTGGAACTTTGTGCTTGTGAGGCAGGCTGCGGAACCACTGAGCTAAATCCCTGGCCTCTCCTTTCTTTTTGATAGTAAACGGTCCCAGTTGTCACATTTTATTACAGCATTCAAGAGAATCCATGCAGCACCTTGAACACTTTTAGGATTTCTTCTACCAAATATCCACCTTCTGCAAGACACTAGGACACGAACACAACTCAGCCAACGTATTTGCCACTTTCCAGCAGGATCCCCTTTCCTCCGGTTTCCAGCTATGCTGCTCCTTTCCACCGAGGCCTCATCAGAACAGCTGCTACCATTCATATTTCTACCATGACCTCTTAGGCCATGGTAGTGAACCTTTTAGAGCTTTTAGTGATAACAGACATCTCACTGTGGCACACGCGCTGTAGGTTTGCCACCACTGTCTTAGGCAGTTTCTGAGGTTGAGGCTTTCTCTCCCATTCCTCTACAAGCCCTCACCAGAATTGCTCTTCATGGTCTGTTCCCACAGCAAAGGCTCTTTCTAGCTTGTACTTCAAAGCTTTTCTAGCCCCTATCCATTATCCTGTTCCAAAGCCACTTCCAGATGTTTAGGTTTTTGTTATAGCTGCACCCCCACTTCATAGTACTAATTTCTGCCTTAGTCTTTTTTTTTTTTTTTTTTTTCAGGGATCGAACTTGGGTCCTTGCGCTTGCCCAGCAGGTGGCAAAACTGCTGAGCTAAACCCCCGGCCCTGCCATAGTCTTTTTGAGTTGCTGTAACAAAAGACCTTAGACTGGGGAATTTGTAAG